GAAACAAACAGCCCGGGACGGCACCGGGGGGGGGGAGAGAGTGAGTGGATTGTGAATAAACAGGCCAAACATGTCCAGGATACAATTCAGCCGAGTTGAACATACCATTATTAGGGGTTTATTAGGCCAAGTTCCGACTGGTTTAGGAATCCCAGAGAAAACTAGGTACGGAAGTGAACGACTTGCTTTTATACGTCTGTCACGATATGCAAAGTGATTAAACAAAGTCCTATGACTGAAAACTAAAGTACAGATTGGAAAAACTGTGATTGCCCCTGTGCTAAACAGTCATGTGTTCACGTGACCGGGGGTACCGCTAATTTTCGGGGGTGGGGGGGGGGGAAGGGGGAATATTAACGTACATTTAATTCCACGTTTTGTTTTACATAGGATGATTTTGTTATGATTAAGAGTTTTCGTGCTATATTATTAATTTATTTCTTTTCACTCAAATTATCATTCACCACCTGACCTGATTGTCCCGCCGTTACAGCATTCAAGTGGAAATAAGTGATTATTAGCTTTGATCACGTGAACACAATTAACTTCACAAATCCAAGCAATCATACAGTGTTTTTCTTTGCTCACAGCAGCTCAATCAAGTGAATGAGATGATAACCAAAACCGATCTTAATTTGATGTTTCCACGATTGACAGAGCATTTTACTAGCAAATTTAATTATAAGTGTGAAAACGGGAAGATAATACTGCTAAATGTAAAACACTAGCGGACGTAAGGATATCACGCATGAATAAATTACTTATGGAATGCTGTTATTAAATTGAAAAGCAATTGGTTACCGGTTTAGGAAATCGCTGCATTTTTAGTTAGGCTCCAGAAACAAAGATCGCTATACTCGCACCAAAGCATTTTGATTTTAAAATAACTTATAACTTTCCAGACGTCTGACCAGTCTCTGATGTGCTCGGGTACAAATATTCCGTTTATATTTCGTCTGTAAAATTTGTAAAGCATTTTTATTGTTTGGATATTTTCATTTTCATTATTTCAACTTTATATTGGCAACGTGTTTGAATAATGCATATCTAATGATAGTGCATAGGCATCACCTGGATTTGATTTGATTAACTCATGTTTTCTGAAACGAATGATTATACCGGTTTTACACAGATCCAGACTGCCAAAGCTCAAAAACTAAGGGATGTGTTGCAAAAAAATATAAGTTGACTTCGGTAATCACTCGGAACCACTAGGGAACAATGGTTCACAGAAGTCGGTGGTCAGGCAGCAAACAAGACTACCACATCCCCGGAAGTTGCATGTTCTATGTTCATCACCGCCGTCATCCGTCTGTACTTATTTTTACGTCTCGCAAGCCCTTTCACTGAGAACCTGTTTCATCCGATAGTCCATCAGATATAGAATACAGTGATAACGAGAATAAATCCTGATATTACGCCTCAAGGTAAAATGATTCAGATTGAAGAGGCAAACGTATACAGGCACGATGAGCTATAGTTTACCATAAAAGGCCCCACCACATGGGACATCTTTAGACATCATAACGGGAAACACTGATACTCATCACCCAGATAAATAGCTCACACGTGGTTCATTCAATTGGCATCTGGGATCCGATTCATAGCAATGTACTTCTGTGGTGTCCTTGCGGAGTTTTATCACTATCGTCGATAATAAATTTTCAATTATTTGAGTTATCTTTTACCGGATGCCTCGTTATATAACCGATGTTTATGCAGGCGTTATCCACCGAGAATTCATCATAGTAGAAATATTTCCTTCAGTGTTCAGCGAGCAACATTCGATGTGAGAAAAATGACACTAAACAGCACTTGTCTGACTGAACACAATTCCCACAAAAAACGGAAACGGAAATCGGATAGCGTAGAGTGCAGTTAATCTGCACTAGATATGCTCTTGAAGTGAACACTAGCGAACAGAAACATATAACCTGGCTCCCCAGAGAGATATAAAAGCACACTGGCGTTCAAAAGGTAGCTGAATGAAGTAGCAATGAGGAATCTTGAATAAAACGTTTACACCACTGAGTTTACCTAAACCACTCAACGAAAACGGTTCATTATTTCAGCATGATAGAACAAAAAGTGAAATTTGTAGGACTATCTATGCTCATTTTCTAATATTTCTGGGATCGTCATCATTATGGGATAGCCACATGCAGTAAAGGCAACTTTTCTGATCCTACAAATCTCGGTTGAGGAAACGAGAGGGAATTAATCTCCTTAAAGTTTCCTTATCTTCAATCTTACCTCGACTCTTTGTAATCTCTTTATCTCTACGCGATATTTTCTGTCCTGTAATAGATCCTTACTCAATCTGAAGTATGCGAGTTCAGCTATATCAAAAGCTCAAAGTGATTCTGTAGTATTTCTTTCGGAAGACGAATAAACAGCTTCTTTTAGGTCGTTGATCATGTAGATTTGGTGATTATAGCCGAGTCTAGCTTAGAATCCGGTCCGTTGTCCACGGACATGTTTCTCTCGTAAAAGTTGTCAGTCAGCGAGGTTGACGGACGCTAAAACCTTGTTTACTATCAGAATCAAACCAATCTCTCGGTCGTTTAGTTTCCGAGGTGACACAGTACTGCTGCATACCGCCAGTTCGAAAGCGCTGAGAAAAAAACTCTGGGGCAACCATTCGGTATTACAGAAACAACTCCAGTTACATCGATGGCTACGCGATCGAGTGTGTACGACTATCCATGTTTCATTGGTTTGCAAAACTAATATAAAGGATCTTTGAGTAAGTGCTATTTTTGATTATTTGTTTCCAAACGCTAGAACCTACGTCATATTTGTGTTCGTTTCCTTGTGTTTTAAGGCAACGAAGTTCGGTGGTTGATTGTCTTAGCAATTAGACTGACAATGCACGTGTAATGCACCTTCCGAGTTTCGAATTCTTTTTAACACTTGCGAATTCACACAAGATGACCACAAACTTCTCGGAACAAAAGTTCACTTTGACTGAAAGAAATCGGTACGCGTTTTCATAGTACTGCAAACTGATTATCCAAATAAAGGGCACCGCCTAGTGGGTTCACCATTGGACATTTTGGCGATGCTTGTTTCATTGGCCTCATATCTCAAGTTTGTATAGGCTCCTTCAGTTACCATGCAGTACTATTTTTAAGCGATAAAATGAATAATAAATAGGCAGGTTTTCGATTAAAGTGAATGGCTTGATGAAATTCAGTGATTGGAAATGGAAATACATCTGTAAATTCTGTTTCCCCCTGAGAAATATATGCATGATGAAGATTGCTGTTATACCATGCAAGTTGGCCTTACTGCCATCAATTTATATTCTACTCCCGTAGCCAGGTGCATTCCAAGTGAAGGTGAGTAATAAGTTTGATGAACCACTGCGCAGAATGTGATAGGTCGTGGAGCAAAATCATTTGACGGATCACGATCTTATTTCTGCATTTTCTCAACACTCGGTGCATTTTATCTAATTGTGTGATGAAAACTAGCCAGGGCGGCGATGACTAAGTGATCAGATCACCAAATTGTAACCCGGAATTCCTGAGTTCGAACCGCTCCACCGCCACCAGTCTTCCCTATTTCTTTATTATCCTAGGCAGCCTTTGTAAGGCCTCAGCCCCCTTCCTGAAAGTTGACTGAACATTTGTATATTCAATAAACAAGAAAAGAAGTAAAAAAACATTAACATCGGCATTGACAGGGCGAAGTCCTCAGTCAAAAGGATCTACTGTTTAATGATGTGAAGGGGCAAACTAAACTCAGTGAGCGGTGAATCATATAAGGCCTCCGAGTAGGGGACATGTTATTTGGTTGAATAAAAGCTTTTCTATCCACCACCATCCAACAAAGATGGCAACGACGGAGCTACTTTGTTCAGTTAACAACCGCCACGAACTGCGCTTTCGGACGTGGACCAAGTTGATATTTTCCTTCACTAAGGCAAAGGAAGAGGTAACGGTTGCAATTTGGTGTTTTATTTTATTTTATTTTATGGGGAAGTAAAATCCCTGTATAGGGTTATGGTAAATGGCTTTCGGTTGAGTGATTTACACCAAACGAGATTTGTCCACTAGAAAACGAAGAAAACTGAGTTCGAAAATTGGGAGGCACTTCATCCACCTAACCAACACAATATCACGAAAAATTCGATTTCTCAGATTTTTCTCCTGGTTTCCTTCGTTCGACCTACAGCATACTACTGTATGACTCATTCCACCCAACCAGCGCCACTCACACTATCTTGATACAGACTCCCCCGATTGCCCATTGATCGGGTGCGGACGCTTCAAATGCGAACATGTTAGAACATAAACACAAGTTCGTTACTGTAAACAGTGACATAGCAGGAACACAAACATCAACTTTCAAGCACATTCACCCTCATCCTCTCTCACATAGCGCTCATGTGTCCTATGGGTCCCATTTTGATACCGCTTTGTGGTAGCCACCAGGAGGATGAGATATCTAACCAATGGCAAAAAGTGTTGCTACATTTCACGCTATTCAGGTTAATTTTATGAGTTTGTATCTAACCAAAGATTTCTGTTTCGGAATAATTCCACTAACCTAACTTCCACATCAACTAAACACAGTTTTGTTAGTGGTGTTGTCACGAGGTATATACCAAAATCACTGAAAGCGCTGTGGAGTAGATGTAAGAATGGTGTCGCAGCATAGCAATACTCGGAATACTACAGAGTTAGATAAAAGGAATTAGCTACAAGTTCTGAGGATTTAAAGGCAACGGTAGTTAACATGGAACAACCAAATAGGTGGCCTAATTCTAAAACGGTTCACAGTTCGTAAACAGGACAAAGCAGAGGAAACATTAGTGACAGAGTAACCGTTTGCATCAGTCTAAATGCATACCGTCATGAGGATAGAAGAGAGAAAGGGGGTGCATAAGGAATAACTAGCTCATCACAGATTTGCTAATGGTACCTGCAATAAATGTCAGGAGCGGGTTGAAGAGGCTCAAGATATATGTTAAAGGAGAAACAGACGCTTCCAACAACCCGGGTTAACTTTGATATGCAGGCACAAGACGCTCTACACCGCCTCGGATGGCTGGGTCACGTATTGCGTATGCCTACCCATCGACTACCATTCCGTGCTCTCTT